GCCCTGAGGGCCAGCCAGGAGGGCCCGGGCCCAGCTTTCCCCGGGTGTGGTGTGAGGCCCACAAGGGAAGGCCAGAATGGGGACAGTCCCTGCCCCCAGAGTCCCCATGGCACAGCCCTGGCCTGTGGTCCCTGGGGCTTTCTCTTCACCCACACCCTCCAGAAGGTCCTGCCAAAGCTGGACGTGGGCTGCTCTCTGTGCAGTGAGCCCCAGATCCTGTGTGTGCATCGCAAACACGCTAATGCTGCGTTTCCTGCGGAAGTCCCCGGAAATGGCGCTGGCAGAAAGCCCCGTGCAGGGCGAGCAGGCGGGGCCTCCCCATCAGGTCCTGGGGTGCCGCCCAAGGCTGCCGAGCCCCGGCCACCTGTGGAGCTCCTTTTGGCCACCCTCGGGGCATGTCCAGATGGCCCAACTGTCCCCGACAGCAGGTTTCTATCAAGCTCACATGAAGTGTCCTATGGGCTGGGTGGCCTCCAGGGCAGCTGCGTCTCTGGATCCACAGTGTCTGTGCCTGCAGGTTAGGGGGACGGTGATGTCATTTTTGCCCACATTTCACTGAACAGAGCGTCAGGCTCCCCCTGACCCTGTGGGGGGAGGGTACAGTCTGCAGAGGCAGCGTGGGCAGGGCAGGGATAGTGGTGGGCACTACAGTGGCCGGGCTGGACTAGGCCAGGTGTCAGGCTGCCTCACACCGGGCTTTGGGCCTCTGGCTTTGCTCTGATTTGTGGACGGTCATGCCCTCCAGCCTCCTGGTAGAGAACGTGGCCATCCAGCCATCCATCTTCTGCATCTGCAGACAACGTCCCCTCAGACTGTCCTCCTGCCCTGTTTGTGGTTAGCAGGCTGAGCAGTGACCAGGCCAGCTGGTCAAGTCCTCCACAGGGGTGGTCTCTGGACATCGCTGGGCCCTGTGGTGGGTCCCAGTGGAGTCAGGCACCTGGACCTGCCATGCCTTCGGGGCAGCTGCGTGGCAGGCCCACCTGGATGGCTCCAGTGGCCCACAGGTGCCCGGAGCCAGAGGAAGGGGTGTGGGGCCTCTGCTCCTGTGTCCCTGCCTGCTCCATCAGGGAGGAAAGGTGACTCCCCTGGGTGGGGGGCTGGTGGGGACCAGCTGCAGAGGCCCCACCTTTTCAGAACTTATGCTCTGCGGGAATGCTGAGTGGACGCGTGAGTGGACGCTGCAGGACACCAGGCTCAGCTCCTCGGCCACTGTGACGCGCAGTGGGCCAGGGGGGCCCAGTGGGCACCAGAGTCCCCAGGATGTCCCCAGGACTCCGCAGACCTTTCCTCTGCCCTCCCCAAAACGGGTGGCC